AGAGAGAGAGAGAGAGAGAGAGAGAGAGAGAGAGAGAGAGAGAGAGAGAGAGAGAGAGAGAGAATCTCTCTCTCCCCCTCTTTCTATCTGTTCTATTTTTCATTTATCTCATCTGTTGTCTTCCTTTACATCCATTTTTCTCACTCGAGTCATTTCTTCACCTCTGGGCTGAAAAACGAAAAAAAGAAAAAAATGTCCTTCACCTTTGTGAAACCTCTGGTCTCGTATTAGCATTTCACCTTTTCGGGAATTTTTCCTAATTGATGTATTTTTTGTGCTAATCATTGACCGTCTAAATCTGCTGTTTTTGTGGATGACTGGCTTTGGTTGTGTGGTGGTTGTGAAGCTGCATTGCGGTTGTTTGCGAGGCACGCGCACCTTTTCCGTCCGAAATTGCTCCGTGACTGCACAACGCTTCTCCCTTGGCTTCTGAAGCGGTTGTAGGTTCATTGACCTTGATCATTGAACTGCCGATGAAAGGACACGTGTCCTTTTTTCTGACATTTTTATTATTCAATTTGATTTATTTATTACACTTCCCATGAAACGAAACGTGTTTTTTTTCCCTTCTCACATCTATCTTTTTTTTTTTTTCCCCCTTCCGTTTATACGTCTGTCAAGCTGTCAACTACCCTTTGCATTCTTGTTGTTCTCACCTCTCTCCCCGCTGCTTTTTGTTCTGGTCGTTTCTACTCTAACGTGATCGTTTATTTCCATGGCCCTCCTGTAAGTTATTAATGCTTGTTAATGCTGTATTAATAATAATAATTGTTTATTAAGTACATTAATGGTTTATTCTTATTAATGCTTATTAATGCTGATAAATGCTTACAAATGCTTATAAATGCTTATAAATGCTTATAAAATTATATAAATGCTTATAAATGCTTATGACATTATGAATGCTTATAAATGCTTATGAAATTATGAATGCTTATAAATTCTCAGTAATGATTAGTGCTTATTAATTACTGAAATAGTGTAGATGATCAAATTCGTATTGCTCTAGAGGCCTCAATCCACACTTTTTACAATTTTACAATGTTGTGTGTTTGCCCAGACAGCCACTATACCGAGTATAATAAAATATACTAAATTCCAGTTTCCAACAGTACTGTCATTTTAACAAGTGGACGCGCTATCAAGAATAGATGGATTATGGTCTTTCAAAAAAAAAAGAAAAAAAAAAGGACAGGTACTATATCTACGATTGCTGTGGGCTTTGTTAGATATAGTGTCGCAGATCCTATAAATGCTTATAAATGCTTATAAATGCTTATATAATTGTCCTTCATTTCTGGGGCTCGCGGATTGCTCAGACGATTAATAAGAAGGGGAGTATAGTGTCGCAGATCCTAAGGCCCAGGAACAATGTGAGTGCGGCCTCCTGTAATACATGCATGATTAATGCACAGGAGAGAGCAAATGTATAGTGTGAATTATTCTGGGCAGATACACATGGGATTAGAAGAAAATAGCATCTGCCAATTTGAACCGTTTGCAGAAGCTGAGGAGCGCATGCTCAGACTAGGACTTCTCGGACTGAACGAGGTCATAATTGTGGTCAGATACACCCAGGATTGGATAAAGTTTGCGATTGTCTCTTGCGACATTAATTGCTCTGTAATCTTTTTGCCATGTTTTGGTGGTTCATTTTGTTCTTTGAATTCTCAGAAAATTTTATTTGTTTTTCTCTGACAAGATCCTTCTATTTATCTGACAGCAACAGCAGCACGAGCAGAGGAAGAGGGACAAACAAAATTACCGATCGTATCTTACTTTTTTTTTTTTTTTTCCCCCTGCCCCCCTCATTTACTACCACTACCTCTGTGCCTCCTTTTTCCCGACACCGATTTCAACCGCACGTTAAAAAAAAGGGAAAAAAAGCGCATTTCGTGAATTTTTTGGCTGGCATCACCAGCCATTTTGGTCCGGTAGCACTCCAGGAATGTGCTGGGGGTCAACTCAATTTCGTCACAAAAGGGACCAGCGGCCTAGCTTTAGTAGGGTTTGTACACAATTGGCATTCAGGAGGGGTCGTGGGTTCAACTCCCCACAGCGCCTGCGGTGTGCTTGGTGTTCGCCAGGCGAGATAGCTCGCTGGCCCTCCCTAGTTTGTCTTGGTAGGGTCCTACCATCATTTATTTGCACACAAATGACTGAAGCTTTGAAAACATATATGCAAATTTCCCTAAGCTTCGCCCTTTTTTTTTGTTTTCCTTTTTTCAATTATCAAATTTGGTGTTTTGTTATTCCTAGTTGTTACAAAACACAAAGGGTCCAATGGACAAAATCGGTTCTCCCAGGAGGCCTTCGCCCATTCCTGTTCTAGCGGGGGGTTAGCTCATATGACCGGTATACTTGCTACCGTCTTCACCCGAATAGAACGCCCGGTCGTTATAGCCGTATCTGGACTGAAAATTACACCAAATACGGCTAAAATGACAGGGCGTTCTATTCGGGTGAAGACGGTAGTTGGTCTTGGTAGTGGTAGGGCTAACCCCTGCTTGGTAGATGTACTGTGGTTAGCCCGTGCTTGGTAGATGTAGCTCTGGCAGGGTAGACCTGGGTAGATAGTGTAAGGGATACTTGAGAGAAGAATATAGGCTAGCAGGTTGCCACAGATGTTTTTGAAAAAAAACGAAAAAAGAAAAAAGAAAGAGAAGAATATAGGCTATTATATAGCTTAGGAAAAGAAAAAAAAAAGTCACAAAAATCTGTGTGGGGAGAGATACTGGTTGTTTAAAACTTTTCCTTTGTTTTCTTTTTTTTTTTTTCAGACAGTCACACGGATTTTTTCCGGCATATGGGTACGCCGGCCGGGTTAACTCATCACTTGCGGAATAATGTATACTTAACCAGTTGCAGTCTTTGGGTTTCAATGACGTCAGTGATCGTATCTAAACTTGGTCGATTTTCTGTGTGCCCAGGGCAGAAATGTCATGGTTGGACACACACCCGGCTGCCAGGCCGGGCATAGGCAGCCCCAGTGCAAAATTTTACAACCCCCCAAAAAAAAATTCTGGAAAATAGAAGTTGTATAGAATTGCAATGCAAACGACTTTGAGTAGACGAGTGGATTGCGTACATGATGAGAAAGACGCAAAGACAAAATAGTTGATACACTTCTTGAATCAAAGATTAAAAAGAAAAAAGAAAAAATCAAGCCAAGGCACCTTCCTTTTAAACCCCCCTGTAAGCCCCATTTGTAACGCCCTTCCCCTCTCCTCTCCCCCCCCCTTCCCCTGCCCCTCCCCCCCAACAGACCACACTGGAAACCAAAAAATAAAGACAATCTGGGCTACTTTCTGCGGGCGCAGAAAAGGTCCACTGACAAAAAAAAAAAAAAAAAAAAAAAAAAAAAAAAAAAAAAAAAAAAAAAAAAAAACCTTCTTGGAATTCTTACATGCCAAGGATAGCCGGGGTGTGATCGAAGGTCAGACGACCTTTGTGAATTCTCCGCCCCCCCCTCTGTTTTCTCCTTTCCTTTGTCTTTTCCTTTTCTTTTGTTTTCTAAGAAGAAAACCTGGACCGTTTCTCTATTTTATGTGCGTGGCATTCTTTGCGAAGGGCCTGTTTGCAAAAGACAATCTGGGCTGCTTTCTGTGGGTGCACAGAAAGCAGCCACAGAAAAAAAGCAGCCCACGCTTGCTATTCTTCCCTTTATCTACTACCTATTCCTATATCCAGAATGATGTCCATTTGTCCTGTCTCACTGAAGCACACCTATATTGTGATGGTGATACTTTCGGTTCCACGTTTGGCTGGTCGGATTCCTTTCTTCCTCGGCTTAGTGATAGAGGTGGGGGGAAGAGGGGAGGGGGGGGGGGAGAGGGGGTTGTTGCTTGAAATTGCTTCTGCCTTTCTGGTCCTGTCACCATGCACTTTACTCCCCTGTTTGAATTCTGCATGGGCTTGGGGCCATTGAATTGAACTGCTGACTTTTTTTTTGTTTTTTCAGTTATCTTATCTGCATTTCTGTTGTTTTGTTTTTCCTTCGCAATGGTGACTGACAAATTTGTGTCGTTGGCGGGTGTCGTTTTGCACTGTCTCAGCACGCATCAGAACACGTCAGTGAGGGACGGAGCGTTGCTGGCACTCGATCGATTTCTCATTCAGGTAACTGCAACAACTTCTTGCTGTGAGGGTATAAAACCTGCGCCAACTTCTCGTTTTCAGCCTCTCTTTTTTTTTTTTTTTTTTTTTTTTTTGAGTAGATGGTCTTCGACATCGATGATCGGTGCAAAGGGATAACAGTATGTGGTTTGGCTGTTAAGGAAAATGTGGGAGGACCAACTGGAAAGGGAGTGGGGGCGGCGGGGCTCGAAGGGGGCAGGTTCTTGGAACAAGGACAACAGTCTTTTCTTGATAAGTTAGACGTTGGAACTCAGAGTCAGAAGTGGATTTGATGATAGCCGAACAGAGCCGGTAGGCCGAGCCCCGAACGTGGCGGCGCTTTTACGACTGCATCAGGACGGAATAGCTAGGCCGTGTACTGGTGGTTTTATTTATTTTAAATAATCTGTCGTGCCAACTAGAGAGAGTCCACTGTCCCCCACAGGCCAACACATGCCTGCATGGGCATGCTGGGTTTCATACCACCTAGAGTCGATAGGCCTGCGCTCCCCCCCCCCTTCCCCCAGTCCCCCAACAGGCCAGCATTACCAGGACCTTATCAAGCATGGTTTTGGCCAATATGCACTCTACTAATTTATGTTTGGGGGGGGATAAAGTGGAGGTGCAGCAAGTGACTGTAGTGTGCTTGGCACTAGCACGGCCACAAGTTCCCCGACTGATTTGAGATACTCCGCACAGTTCCGCATGAGCGTGATGAGGGGTAGTGCATCGCCCGTCACTCTCGCTCGAGGCAACCTACCAACCTACCAACCTACCGTAGTAAGTGACGGGAACTTACGGACCCCGTACCTGTTCCTAACCTACGGTATTGGGAACATGCACCCGTCCGTTGTAACCATCGTAAAGTGCGGACCCCATGCCTGTGCCTAACCCCTGGTAACCAATCTACCCCACCCCTGGTAACTAGCCTACCCCACCCCCGGTGACCAACCTACCCCATGGGTTAGGGAGAGGAATGGACTGCGGGGTGTTCCCTTCTAGTGTCCAGACAGTAGGAAGGGGACAAAAGAGATGGAGAGGTTACGAGATGAAAAATCAAGTAATACCGGAGTTGTGTCGTACTGTATACAAGAGAAAGGGGAGAAGTGAAGAGAGAAAAAAAAGTTCCTTTTTCTCAATCAAAAAGAAAAGGAAATGGAGATGGACAATTTCTGGATGTCAGCATTTCCTTAGTTGGTGTGTGTGTGTGTGTGTGTGTGTGTAGATTTTAGATTGTGATCCGTGCTTGAGGGCCTTAGGCCCCACCGCGCACGCATGACCTCGAACCAGCACCCTCAGCCACAGGAACCAAGTCTGTGTGTGCCTCCTCCTGGAGGTATTTATGAAAAAGTCAGAAAAACTCAAAAACAGTTAGAATACTACAATCCTTGAGAAGATTGCGATCCACCCAAAACCCAAAATGTGCTTTTGTCTTTCAATGAGCTAAAAACATGGTTGCATACCTGCTGACTGCCAACCCTGACCACCGACCGTTTTGCAGCCGACCTGTTGGGCCAACCGGTCGGCGGTCTGCCGGCCTGTCAAAAAACAGCCATCCACTGATTGTTTTTCAAATCTGAGTTGGGGGCTGTACTGCGCTTGCTGTGTACAGCCCAAATCTGCTGAGAAACTTTTGGGGAGGGGGGAGGGTATAGGGGTGGTGTAGGGGGTGTTGTGGGGGGTATGAGCGCGTTGGGGGTATTCGGGGCGGGTATAGCGGTGTTGGTGCGGTAATTGGTTCTTCTGGACTCCCAGAAAAGAAATATGGGGATCTTTTTTTTTTTTTTTTTTTGGTGGCGTGTCGCCGACCCCCGATCTGTTGGTGCTGACCAGTCAAGGGGCTCCGACCGTCGGGGTATTCCAACACTGGCTAAAAACATAAAAGTGGAAGGAAAAGTAAAAATAAGAAAGGAAAAGGGAAATGAAGAAAGGGAAAGGGCAGGGACATCATCAGCACGAGCTGATGACTCCCGCTTATTGATTTAAAAAAAAAAAAAAACCGAAGAAAAAGAAAGGAAAAGGAAAAGGAAGAAATGAAACGGACAATTTTTGCGTTTCTTGATTTTTCTTGTGCATAACTGGGTCCTCCTCCCGGAGGTAATTTAAAGGAAAACTGTAATCCTAGAGAAGATTCCAATTTCCCATCCACACAAAACCAAAAATCTCCTTTCTTCTCTCAATGAGAAAAAAAGGGGAAAATGGTTCAAATGACAAATGGACAGGTTGTTTTTAATAATATTGCAAAATTTTCGTAAATGTTTTCAACCATTTTTTGGTTTTATTTTATTTTCTCTAAATTGCACCATTCCTTGATTTGTGTGTGCCCTATATGCTTTAACCTAAGCTAGGGTCATGGTAATTACTAGTTTTCTCTGCCTGCTTCCTTGATTTTTTTTAATGTTTTTACTTTTTTTCGGAACTACTTATGTCCAGAAAATCGAGAGCAAGCCAGAAATCTCCCGAGGACAAGAGAAACAGAAATCTGTTTTCCTACACACGCTTGTTTCTGTCCGATGTCATTTCTGACCGATCCTTCTTTTTTCCTTTTTTCCTTTTTTCCTTCTTTCCTTTTTTCCTTTTTTCCTTTTCTTCTTTTTTCCTTTCTTTCCTTTTCCCTTTTTTTCTTTCTTTCTTTTTTCCTTTTCTCCTTTCTTTCTTTCTTTCTTTTTTCCTTCCTTTATTTCTTTTTTCCTTTCTCTCTTTCTTTCTTTTAAAACGTTTTCCTGATCAATCCTCTGACATGCAGATAGCAAAAGGGCTCTCTGAGCAGTCTGCTGCTGCTGCTGCTGCAGCCGGGCATCCAAGTCTACAGAATGTGTACAAGGTGTGTGTGTGTGTGTGTGCGTTCACTTTTTAGAAACAAACAAACTTTAACAAAGCGTGTTTTCAAACCTTTTGCAACAAAACGTGTTTTCAAGGGTTTTGCGAAATTAAAGCGAAGTAGCAGATGTTTTGTTTGTCACTGTTTGGATGCGAACCATGTGTTTCAGCAAATGGAATAAGAAGTTCAAAAAACTTTGAAAAAGTGAAACACATATTGCTTGATTGGAACCACTGGTTGGAAGGGGTTCAACAGATTACCTCAACTCGATCGAATAGGGAGTAGTAGTTAACTAACTACATAGATGTCATTTTACATGCCCGTTGTTAACCTGGGTTAAACTTCATTGAGGTCGTAAAGGTGAACTGGAGTTAGGATAACCTCCAAGTGTGGGCCATTTGTTCTGGTGGCTGTGCAGTGATCTGCCTGCCCCCTCTCACCCAGCATACCTGTTGCATACTGTAACGTGCAGACCAGAACAAGAACCGACCTTTCAATACAAAGTATAAGATAGCACAGTGGAAGACTTAGATACGAATGATCCGAACAATCAATATTGTAATGCAGCTCTGAACACACATCATCATCACCGTTATCTGGTGTGAAGGGGGTCTGGCGCTTCACACAAGAAGACTGCGCCAGCCCCAACCATACACAGACGAAGAAGGAGGGGTTAGACGAAAGAGGAGGGAAGATGGGAATGTCGTCAACACCAAGTCTCGGTACAGGCCCAAATAGTCCCTCGTCGAAATGTCTGAATCCCAATGTCCAGTCTGGATCCAATGTCGTCAAGCCTCAAGTCACAACTGTCTCTCTCTGTCGTAGTCTGAGAAGTCAGGTGGCGAGAGGGTGGGAAGAGAAGGTGGACTTAGAAGAGGAAGAAGAAGAACACTCTCTCTCTCTCTGTGTCCAGTACTAACCTGTGAAGTTGGCGTCTTGATGCAGGTACCACGAAGATGGAGCTGGAGCGATGGCGCCACAGGTAAGTATCACTGGCCTCCGCCAGTCTCTCTCCCACTCTACAATCTACCACCTACCAGCGCCCAGCGCTGAAGACTACAGCTACAGCTATGGCGCCCAGCGCCGAAGACTACAGCTAGCGCTAATAACACCTAGCGCTGAAGACTACTGCAGCGCTCCTCCTGAGTGCTGCGGCCGATATCCTGAAGACTACCTCGTGCCTACTGAACTACCTCCCTACCCGTGTAGTGCATGGGACTCCCTATGTACTACACGCCCTGCCTCATGACTGCAGGGCGAGGCAGTCCAGGAGGCTGCTCTTGCCAATGCCGCAGGGAGTCAGGGGCTGCCGCTGCAGCTCCTGCTTGTGGCTGTCGTGGGAAACAGGCTAAAGATAGCCTGTTTCCGAAACCCTGGTTTTGTGCCTGAGTCTTAGGGTAGGTCGATCTTATGAGGGCCCGAAAGTGGCCCTCCGTTTCAGGCTGAAAAGCCCTGATATAGGCTGAAAACGAGATAGGGCCTGCAGGCCCTCGTTTTCAGTTTCAGGCTGAAACGACAGGGGGCCTGTAAGCCCTATTTTCTAGGCTTTTAGGCTGAGAATGCGGGACGGGCCCTGCAGGGCCCGTGTGGCTACGCAGTATGCCACAATACCCCACCATTAGTGGGGTGGGGTGGGGTGGGGGGCCAGTGGAGATCTGGGCATGGAGAAGTCTCTGAATCTGTGCGTGTTATGTCTGTTGGCGCTTTTAAGGCTGTTCATTACTTCATCATTGTGTGTGCATTTGGTTCACCTGGGGGTATATGAGAGCTCAAACCATGGTTAGGTGAGAGTTCCAGGAATCAATCACCCAGCTCATCCATGTGGGTGAGCAGTACAGACGCATACAACCAACAACCGTTAACACACGGATCATGAGTTCAAACTTCAAACTTGGTAACTTCGAATCATGATTGAATATGACAGATGGATACCATAAGATTAGGTGCTACCCACCCACTTACAAAAAAAAAGTGAAAAAAAAAGAGGTTAAAAAAAGTAAAAAAACGAGTAAAACGAAGAAAGAAAAGTGAAAAAGAAGAGAAGAGTTCTGGTATGTCTCGTGAGGAATGGAATGGATCTCTCTAGCCTCTGCTGCACATGGTAAGCCATCATTTGGAAGGATCTGCCCCCCCCCCCAAAAAAAAAGGCCTTCTGCCAGGCTGGTGGACATTTTTAGACCCTTATTGACACTTCTGGGTGGTATTGACTTCTTGGCCAAGTTATTGATGTTTTTCACCCTTATTGAAACGGTTTTCACTATTCTGCAGTCACAGATGCGGGCCCCTAGGGTTCGATCCCCAGACCTCACTTTGCCCATGTACAGTATCGAGTCGACCCCCGAGTGTTTGAACCTGTGACCTGTGTTTTGGTAGTTGTTTGTCGTCTGTCGTATGTCTGTGTAGTGGTAGGGGTTCGATCTGTAGGTCTGTCGATTAGGAGTCACAGCTCTTTAGAGGTCGTAGCTGCTACAGTCCTGAAAGGTCAAGGTCGTAGCTGCTACAGTACTCGAAAGGCCAAGTCCACAGACTTTCGGAAGGTCCGGAAGTGGCCTTTCGAATTTGCCTCACGTTCAGTCAGAGGCAAGTGGGCAAGTGGTGAGCCTAACTGCGTTACGTCGGCAGTGCGACTGCATTGAGTTGGCAGTGCAAACCCATGCAGTCAGTGGTACCGGTCCAGCCAGTCTCAGCAGTGCAAACCCATGCAGTCAGCGGTACCGGTCCAGCCAGTCCCAGTCCATTCAAGCAAGTACCATGAGGGACTGTGTGCACCATGGGCCCGGTGGAAAAGGGCAGACCAACGAGTTACAGAAGTATAAATCAAGAGGCAGCGCCCAGCCATTCATTCATTCGCTGCGTCTTGTGCGAAGGTGGTCTGCAGGTTGCCCAAAGTTGAAGTGGGCTGAAGAGCGAGATCGTAGCCATAGCCAATTGTGGTAGAGCGGCCATAGCCGCTGTAGGATGAAGATAGACTTAGTGTGTGCGTGTGGTGGTATTCAGGGTGATCCAGAGTGAGTGTGTGCGAACAGTGGAATTGGACACAGTGGCGAAGGTTGGGATGTACAGGCGCCGATGCGCCATAGCCTGTTGAAGTGAATCTGCATCTGAACTGTGTTCTCGATTTCCATATCTCTAAGTTTTGAATGGGCGCTCTGCGCCAGTGTGGATTTCCATCTGTTTGCATGTATGCGAAGTGGAAGTGAAAGCGAGTCTGATTGCATTATTATTGACATTTTTTTAAAGCCTTATTGCTCAGATTTTTTTTAGCCTTATTATTGACATTTTTTTCCCCATATTGTTGAACTCTTTTTTTTTTTTCACACTTATTATTTTTGAGTCCCTTATGGACGATTTTCAGCAGTTGTGACCGATATTGACACCTTTGGCCCTTTTGTTGGCCACTCTTGGCCGTTACTACTGTTTCTGCAACTTTTTGGCCTTCATTGACGTGTTCGACCCTTATTGCCATTTTTGTCCCCACGGATTGACAAATTTGGATCTTATGACAGTTTTTTTTTGTTCTGTGATTTTTCTGATTTGATGTCTGTATGTGTTTTTTTTTTTTCTTTTTTTTTTTTTTTGTGTGTGTGTGAAACAGAACTTAATGGGCACGTTTTTGAATATCCTGGACTCCGTGGACAGCCCCAAGTCGGAGGTTGCTATTGCTATCCGTGCTCTTGGGCGTCTGGCGGCACCTATTGTGCGATTTTCTGGGAAAGACGAGTTGAAGCGAGCGATCGGTAGACTCGTTCCGTTCGGAAACAGTGCTTTGGCGTAAGTCCGCGGACAAAGCGATCCTCTTGGCAGACAACTCACACTTTGTTTTGACAGCTGAGAATGACCGACTGACCAATTGTGTCGGCGATGATGGTGAGGCGATAATGATGATGATAATGATGATGATGATGATGATGATGATGATGATGTGATGATGATGACGATGTGATGATGATGATGATGACGATGATGATGATGATGATGATGATGATGATGATGATGATGATGATGACAGTAATGATGAGGTTCATGCTGATGCGATGGTGTGATGACTGATCAGCTTTGCGACAGCCCTGTTTCGAGCACATGGTCGTATTCTGGCAACACCTGCTCGTATATATTATGAGATCAGACTCAGGACATTGTAGGCGTCGGTGATATATGGTTGGCATGTTGAAAGGATTTCACGTCTCAGTCATTGTCACAAGTCCCGGTCCCAGCGTCCCATTGGCCACAGTCACACCAAAATTTAACTGATTTGGCAGGCCCAGCGTCCGAGGTGCTTTACTCGGTGTTATGCATGATTGCGATTGGAGTTGAAGCTGAGTCAGTTCATTGCAATATTGTCGAGACCTGATACAATGTCCTTACTGTAATCTCATCACATTATGCATGCAGGGCATGCATGGGTTGGGTGACATGGAAGGCCTGCCATGTCGTTGCGAGTCTTTGATATCTCTCTACGTCTGCAATAAGCCGATTCCTCAACCCTTAACCCTTAACCCCTAACCCCTAACCCCTAACCCCTAACCTCGAAACCCTAAACTCTATATCCCAGCCCCTCTCCACTAACCCCTAAACTCAAAAGCCTATACTCTATCCTGAGCCTTCTCGGGCTTGTACGTAGTAGACGTCACTGACTCTTGAGGGTATCTTCACTGACTTTTCAGTGTGTACTTCCTGTGAGCATTGTGGTGCGTCTCACTGCCTCATGAGATTACATCATTCTTTCATCATATCCTTTTTTTCCTGAGTATTGCCAACGATCTGCTTCTTACGTTTTTCCGCTTTCCTGTCGGCCTGCTGGTACAATAAACTGCTTCTTTACCATCCCTCGTGTATCATCCAGACTGGGGAAATTTTTGACCCTCCCATTTCCAGATTGAGGTCCATGTTCGGCCATCCAATGGCTGTAATTGCATTGCGTAAGATGTGCTGCGGGAAATGACTGCACTCTTATCCTTCTCTCTCCCTTTTTTTTTTTTTTTTTTTTTTCTCTTTTTTTTTTTTTTGTTTCGTTTTCCCCCCCTCTTTGTCTGAAGTTCGGCCTACGGTTGATGGGGCAGTTCTCTATGATGGGATAGAGGCCGCAGCTCGCACTCAACTACAGCACCGTCATGAGGCTTGTACCTGAGATGCGAAGGAATGGGAGAGCTGGAGAAAAAACAAGAAAAACTGTGAAAAACTTCAGAGAAAGCCAAAACTTGTAGAATAGCAGACTGTTGGGACCGAGAGGTACTGAGAAAGAGGAAGGAGCTTGGAGGGATAGGAGATGCACATGGAAGTTGATTCCCGGATGGAGACAACTTAGGCATGTTAAGAAATAGTGAAGGACTGGCGTGCGGCCTGAAGGGCTGCTCGGACCCCCCCCCCCCCCCGTCCGGGGCCACCTACCCCTGGCGGGTGCTCTACTGCATGGCTGGGTGCTGCTAGTAAGCCTCCCGACCAGTAGAACAGCCCCCGAGGAGGGCTCAAAGTTGGGGGATGGGCGCTCTGTAGCAGTTCCCCCTTGTTTAGGCGTCTAGTGCCGGAAGGCCTAGGCTGGCCCCCTTTCTTATCTTTCCTCTCCACTGCCCTTGTGTAATGAAACATGCTTGCCGGTGACAAGTAACCGGACTGAGGAACTGCGCAGGAAAAAAATGCAATAATATCTAGTTATTAACATTAATATTAATATTATACTTACTATTTAATATTATTATCTATTATCTAATAAGGATATTAAAGAACTGCTGCACAAAGAAAGGCAAAAAGAACAGTGTCTGCATCTGCTCTTTTCTTCCATTTGTTCCACAAAGTGTGCGCTCGTTTAGTTGTTGATAGATGTGTGTGGCAATGTACGAGGTGGAAGAAGTGCCAAGTTGTTTCTTTGGCTAAAATAAATAGAAGTGACACTTGACGCCGGTGACACATCAGTAAGGTTTTGTGGTAAGGTTGAAGATTCTTTATCTGTTGTTATGATCTCCAGAAGTGTGATGACCCGACCAAACATGGACTGAAACACGCGGCTGATTTCTGAGTTTTGCTCATGGACTGAATGCCTTGCTGAGTTTTCCGCTTGCTACTAAGTCTGTGTGTGTGCACGCTTGCTGGACTGCATGTCTGTCTGAGTGCTGGTTGGCTTGAGTGTGTGTGGCCCGTAAGGGCACTTGTTCGTTCGTTGGGCCCTCATGGCCGTGGCATTGAGGATTGCAGCGGGGGAAAACACTCAAGTGGCGGGGAAAGAGGCCCGCAGCACTTGAAGCAGCGGGGAAACACTCAAGTAGCAGGTAGGCTGGTACCACACCCTGAAGCGGTAGATGTGCCGGGTACTGGAGGCCGAGCAGAAGAAGACAAAAGTGGCATTTTTAGAGACCAGTACTTGTAGGCTAGGTCTAGGCGGGTACTAGTCCGAGTCTAGGGCCTGTACGGGCAATATCAGACTCTGCAATGATGTTTCCCTCCGAAAGGGAGGAGGTACCGGTTGCTTGGGAGGCCGAGCGGCCTGGATGTCACCGCCCGAGAGGCAAGCAGGCCGCTATATCTCCAGCCCGGGCAAAGAGCCCAGCCTCATTGTCGGTGTGCAAGTTTGCAACACACTGGTTGGAGCGCTGGCTGGAGCAGCGCTAGCTTGGAGCAGTGCTGCTGGGGAAGAAGCAAGGACTTGGAGGAGGAAGAAGGACAGGAAGGGGGAGGAGCTCCAAAGGTACTTACCTGGCTATGGTGGTAGCCATCTTCATCACCTTGGTGGGCACTGCAGCAGGGAGACCCCAGCTGGGGAGAGCTACACCAAGAAGCTTCGAGGCAGAGTCAGGCATGACGGCCTGAGCTAGAGCAGCCATAGCTGCGTTGCATTGTTTTTGCACAGCAGGGCAAGGCCCAAGTAGTCCGCCATAGCCTCAGCCTATGAGAGTGAAGAGTGAGGGAGGCGGCCATGGCTATGGTGGACGTCAAGTGATACCAGCAGTAGAAGAGGGATTCAGACATTGATTCTGGTTCAGCCATTCAACATTGTATTATTATTTCTTGTGTGAATAGGAGAGGAGGAAATAACGAGCTTTGTCTTTTGTCTATGCTGGTGTACATCATCTTCTTCTTCTTCTTCTTCTTCTTCTAACCTTCTCTCTCCTCTCAAGTTCATTCGTTTCTTTTTGCAATTGGACGACATTGTACTATCTGATGAATGGGTTGACCTCCGGATCACTGAAAATGATTGGAGGGTTAGACTCAAGAAGGGCGTATGCCTGCATTGCTAGAAATCGAACCATAAAGTACAAGAATGTTATAGGCTGCAGGAAAACCAGAACCGGGAGTAGAGTTGACTTCAGCATCCTCTACGGCAAGGGAGACTGAATCTGATGCAAATCAGCAGTCCTCCCTTGAAGCCCAATTATCTGCTGAGTCCAAGGCTGAAGTATGTCATGCTTTGTATGTCGAGCCTTGGGAGGAGTCTGAGACGGTTGACTTCCACTACCACTTGGAGCACTGGGCTGAGATGAAACATCAGCGTGCCCAAGGGACAGTGAAGCTGATCTTCTTCAAACTCCTCGTTAACCATCGCTGTCTCTGTGTCTTGATTGATTGTGGTGCAACTACTAACTTTATGTCACCACATGGGATACACAAAGTGGGCTTGGGAATGAAGCAAGTGGCTTTGCAGAACCCTTGCTGGACCCAAGTAGGCAACAAAGAAGTTGTCTCCTCTACGCATGCAATCAAAGGTTTTGCGCACTACCTTTGACAAGGACAAAAACGTCACCCACGCTTGGAACTTCTATATCCTTGACAAGTGTCCCTTTGACGCTATCCTTGGCTTGGGCTGGCTGCAGTCCCAATGTGAATGGACCAAGTGGAAGGAGTCACTTTTCATCGTCAAAGATGCTCAAGGGAACGAGCTTCCCGTCCTTTTGGACGAGAAGCACGAGTCCCCAGTGACTTTTCTGAATGCCATGCAGTTCTGCAAGAAATGGCGCAAGCACAAAGAGGATGAACAATTGTATGTTGCCTTTGTTCGCCCTACTCATGTGCCATCTACTTTTGCGCCTAGTACCAATACTACTTCGTCTAGTGATTCTACTTTTCGCCCTCCTACTTCTTTACCTACGCCTAATCTAAATAATTCTACTTCAGATTCGGTTGCCTCCATTCGCAACCTATGACCTGATCTAGGTGATCCTTTTGCTGATCCTTCACCCCCACCGGTCCCAACAAACATCCAAAACCTACTTGATCGGTTCCCAGAAGTTCTGGACGAACCACGTGGAGTCCCCACGCGATCGGTCCGACACACCATCGAGTTGATCAAAGGTGCTGTTCCTCCAAAAGGCTGCGTGTACCGAATGGGATCTGGCGAGTTGGAGGAACTCCGACGACAAATTGATGAAATGATTGACAAGGGTTGGATCAAGCCTAGTGAGTCTGAATTTGGTGCCCCTGTTTTGTTTGTCCCGAAGAAGGGAGGCAAGCTCCGCATGTGTATTGACTATCGCGGTCTAAAGTGCGTCACAAGAAAGAACGCCTATCCATTGCCTCGCATAGATGACTTGCTTGATGTTGCAGGTGGGTGCAAGGTATTCTCCAAGATCGACCTCAAGTTTGTCTATCACCAGATTGAAGTCGATCCTGCGGACCAGCACAAGACTGCATTAAAACACGGGATGGGCTTGACGAGTTTACCGTAATGCCCTTCGGTCTCACGAACGCACGGGCCACCTTCCAAAGCCTCATGGACAAGGTCCTCCGTGAACAGATTGGCCGGTTCGTAGTGGTATACCTTGATGATATACCGATCTTCAACGAATCCATGGAGGAACACATAGAGCACCTTGAGGAAGTGTTCACCATGCTCAAGAAGACGCAACTCCATCTCAATTTAGAGAAATTTGAGTTTGGGAGGGATAACGTCATCTATCTTGGGCATCGGTTGTCTGCTGCAGGCCTAGAGCCTGAGGCAATCAAGGTTGAGGTCATACGCAATTGGCCTCAGCCTGCGAACATCCGCGAACTGCGTTCTTTCCTTGGTCTTGCGTCATACTGCCGGAAGTTTGTGCCCCGCTTCTTTATTGTTGCTATTGTTGCTCCCCGTTGTCCCGGTTAAGGAGTAAGAACGTCCCCTACGCTTGGGATACCGCATGCGAGGACGCGTACTCCTTTTCTTTCCGTACTGTTGCCTTTTCTATTATTTCTTCTCTTAGCTTTTTTTTACTGTGCCTGTCACTGACAAGGCTCGCCGAGGTGATGAAGATGAGCGCGAGATGCCTGCATCCCCGTGTGCCGTGAGGGCCCACATATATGTTGTGAAAAAAAGGCAGAGTAAAGGACGAGGGGATAAAAAGAGAGAAAATGTATGTATACATAGTACATACTATACAACCATCAGTCATTAAGTGCTGTGAGTACTATCGTTACCACAAAAGGGTCCAGGTTCGCATGTGGTTGTGCGCTTAATAATCTATGCAGAGGCTAGTACAGGGAAATGAATAAATCCATACAAGGCAGAACAGCAAGGGAAAACATGGACCACAATTTTCACGCGGGTGTGTGTGCAAGTTAATTGGCTGTCACGGAGTCTCACGTATGTTCTTCACCACGTATTGCGTCTAAATGGATTTGTGAAATTTTATTCCGAGTTGAATTCCCAACCCTGAATTTTTTACGCAGTTTGTGTGTGTGTGTGTGTGTGTGTGTGTGTGTGTGTGTGTGTGTGTGTGCGTGTGGGTGTGGGTGTGGGTGTTCATGTGTTGTGTGTGCACGTGCGCCTGCATGTGCACACATGTATGTTTGCCTTGCGTGTGTGTATGTGCGCGCGATCACGCATGCACGTGCTTGTGTGGTTTGCTTCCAATTTTTGTACAGAATGATTGAGGAAGGGGATGAAATGGTTGGTCATGCTGTGACCATCATTGGTGCGTTTGCGGACATGGTGGTGCATTTAGACTCAGTTGATGACACACTCTGTCTCTTCATTGCGCAGGTAGGTGCTTGGTGCTTGCTGCCGTCTACCATACCATACTATCTGCATGACAACCATTCTTTTTCACAAATCTCAATCCAATCCCAACCAATCCCAATACATTCCCGAATCCCAATCCAATCCCATCCATCCCAATCCCAAGCCCAATCCCAATCCCAATCCAATCCCAATCCCAATCCCAATCCCAATGTGAATCCCAATCCCAATCCCAATCCCATCCCAATCCCATTCCCGATGCCAATCCAATCCAACAGGATCCCACTTAATCCAGTCCTATCCAACCCTGGCCCAACCTGACCGAACTCAATTCAAAATTGAATCCAATCCATTAGAATTCAATCCATCAATTAAACTGAATGCAGGCTTCAACACTGTGCTCTTCAGAACTGAGCTTTTCGCCCGTTGCTGGCTTGCATGCATTTTGCTGGAATAGTGCAGTGGAACCAACCATGTGTAGCGTTCAAATATATTAATTTCTGTGAATTTCTGGAAATCTGCGATTATGTGGATGATGGATAGGTGACAGGGAAAGTCGTCTGGCAATTTCCACAGCTTTGGCCAAAACAGAAGCTTGCTGTTTACGTTGTCCTTAAAAATCTTCTCAAGGCTCTCTATCCAAAGGGAAACATATTCCCAATTTTCCTCAACAACATGGGTAAGTGCAATGAATCATCTTTTCCATCCTTATGAGGAGATCCCCCCCCCCCCCGACTGCGGTGCACCCTCGCCATGCAAGGGCATATCCTTCTAACGGAATCTAACCTCACCACTGAATCCATCTCTCTCTCTCTCTCTCTCTCTCTCTCTCTCTCTCTCTCTCTCTCTCTCTCTCTCTCTCTCTCTCTCTCTCTCTCTCCTGGGGACATCAAACACTGCATTGTTCTTTGTCACATATCTGCCCATCTGCAGAACATAGTGAAGTGCCTCACACAATATACCCCCAGCAGTTGTTTTTGGACTGAACATGGCCCTAATGACGACCGGATGCAAAATTCCATTCATCTGAAGCTAGGTCCATTGCATCTCACGCTAGGCCGGTTGTGGTTTATGTTTGGAGTTCACAAGGCTCGTCTTTTGGAAGTGAATCTGGCCATAACCACGCTCATGTACTGTTCCAGATCAATTGCATGAATTTGCATCTTATTGCAGCTGGGTTGTGTGGCTACATCCGGCATTCAGCAAGGCAGGTTGTTGTTGATGTTGCAGTTCAACAAGGATCATCTTTTCGGACTGAATCTGGCGCATTTTTTCGGACCTAATCCGGCCACAATTGTCCTCTGAATCTCTGATACATCATTTCAGGTCCATTACATCTCAGGCTACTATCTTCACCCGAATAGAACGCCCGGTCATTATCGCTGCATCTGGACCGAAAGTTGTGCGAAATACAGCTATAATGACCGGGTGTTCTATTCGGGTGAAGACGGAAGGCAGGTAGGAGGTACATCGGTGTCAGTAAGACTACCAAGAGCTCATACTCTTGCACGACTACTAGGCATTCCTTGGGGGACGGTCATCATGCGGGGACTAGTTGTATTGTATATTAAAAAAATGGGGACTTCCTTGCTCGATCAGATGAACATCCGATGGGCCTCGGGAAAGGCTGTGTCCTGCTGAATCACCCAAGCCCAAAAAGTTGTAACCTCGATCCCTACCCAAGCCCAGGTCTGTCTCAGCAACAGGGGCTGGAAAGAAACACGGGCCTGGCATACAAAGACGGACACAGAATACCTTTCTCAGGCTTTTGGCTAAGGGTCTTTCTTTTTTGGTGGCTAAGATCAAGTCTAGTATCTGTTCTGATCACTTAAATATCTGATCA